CCCCCCATACCGCGCCCGGCACTTAGGAAAGTGACCCACCCATCGCAGATCCGAGAGCCGTGCCACACTACAGCCGATCCACGGCGTGGCGCGAACCAAGACTTGTTCAAAAATAAGATTATTTACTTATGTTAGTGAAATAGCGTAAGTTATTTCATTTACCCTTTTCCAGGCCCGGAACTGCAGTTAGGCACTCCGTTTGCCCTCCTAATGGTATCTGTACCTGATTTAGCTCTCATTTCAACAACTGCCACTAGAAATAATTGCTGTGAATAGCGGCTGTAGGTGGGGGCCCCAATTGGGGCAAATATCCACAATGTTGTGAAATAATTGTGTTTACAACGTGACTTTGGAATTTAGATATTATTTCATCAGCCTTAAACACATACAGTAATGCATTTAACAATTTGAACTTGCTGGGACTAACACGTTTTGGCAATCAAGTCATTACATAAATGATTTTCATTTTGTTTTAGAGAAGGAAGTAAAAATACCAGCAACTGACTTCAAAATAACAATGTCATATGAAGTCTCAAACTTACTGGAAACCAGTAATAGATTTAATCACAGTCACTTTGAGTCAATTAGTCGACTACACTCCTCTTCCTCACAGACATCAAGAAAGAAGGGTAAATATATAATTACAGAAAAGTCGTCAAGAAAATACTCATTTGTGAGCACAACATACCCAAATAATTAATTTTAACAAATTAATTGTCTTAAAAAACTATATCATAAAATATAAACAAAAGAAAGCAAAGGGAAAGAAACAAAATCAAACTGACAACAAACAATAAATCTATCTATGATTAAGACTTAGCTCACATAACACATCCATGGCCAAATAATAAAACAAAGAATGTTGCCTGCTAGGCAGCTTAAAAAATAATTGCTAGAGAAAATGCATCTTAGTCAACAGTAGATAAAATACAGAGAAGTGATGCTAACATTTTGTAAATTAAAATTCTCTGATTGAACTTCTATTACCACCTAAAAGAGAACCGCTAAGGCTTTTTCATACACTACATCATAAACAAATACATAAACTATGAGACATTACAGCCACACTTTTGGCCACATGCATGTGAGAAAAGATGTATAAAATTTAATCAATTAAAAAAATGATTACAGAAACAAATTACAACATAGAAATAAGTTTTCCATAAATCTATATGACAAAACAAAGTAATTGGTAAAGTAAATTAAAGCATTGGCTAACATAAAATATACCAACAGGTGCTTATAACACAGCTATGCTAAAAGGAGATATTTTTTTTGTTTTGTTTTTGTGTGTGTGTTCCTGGTGGTTTATTTTGAGGACTTTAAATACCATGTTAACACAGAAGAAAATATTAATTTCTGATTTGACCTAAGATCAGTATCAAACTTTTACATGTAAATTGTGCAGGGTATCCAGAGTCATAATAGTAACTAGTATGTTGGGTTTACCGAAGCACTGGTTCTATAGGGAATCGCTGAAGTAGCGTGGCCACGGGAAGACATAGAGGGTAGCACGGGGCGATCGTAGAGGCGGGCGCGGGGCCACTCCATCTCCACCCACACCACATCCTGCACCTACATGCCCGCACTCCTCCGCAGTGCTACGTCCAAACTAACGGCAAGTCTTATAGTACCTGGACCTCGACAGAACACCCGATACATCATATTTAAGTACATGTCACAACTACAGAGTTAAAAAGATAAGAGGTGCAGTTCAAGTTCTCAATGGCTGCAAACACAAAACATCCATAGATTGTTAACAAAGGCACCACAAAAAGATAAGTTTTAAAATACACCCGAATCAACTTGACAGTATATTCTCTTGAACTGGAACATATACCACTAGCTAAGCATACTCCCCAACCCCCAAATAAACACATGCACACAGGTCTGCTCAAATACTCAATAACTAAACACAAAAATATAAGTCAGTATGCTGATAAAACAAAGATATCACATACAGTACAAATATACTATTGGTCTAAAAATAGATAGATATGAGGGGAAAGACATGTAGTTGATGGGCAAAGACAGAGGTATCTGCTCATAATTCTCTCATTATGTGTCAAATACTACATACTTAAAATCCACTTTAAGTTTCAGAGCTAAATATTCACATGTGTGTCAAAATATGTCACAACACACTTTACGTTTACTTTCTTTCACCAAATATTTTTAAATGAAATCTGTATAGACAATTTTAATTGTATAACAGATAAATACCTATCATTTTGTTTCAAATACAAACATTAGATGCACAAACCCAGCTACAGTAGTTTCAATAAATTCAGTTCATTAAAATTAAAACATTGGTGCAAAAACAGACAGAAACAGTCTACACATTCCAAAACTTGTAAATAAAGCTTTGCTTTTTGAAATGTGCCAATCTCCAGTCTGTCCATGATCCAGTCTTAAACGCAAAATCAATATGAACGTAGGTCACACAAGTATCTACCAATTCTGAGTAAGACAAAAAAGTAACCTAGGCAGTGACAGTTTTGTTTTAAATGAAAGACGAGAATCAGGTAAAAGGTTGTTTTCAAGTTGGTCTCATATGAAGGCCTATAAATGATCTAATAGAAAGGGAATTGGAAGACAGCGCAGTCAAAATGGATAATGATAGAACATGTAAAGCTTTGAAGCAGGAGGGCTTTCAAGTTAAATTACAGATTAAGGTGGAGCTAAATACTGTGGAAGTCACTTGCAAACACAAAGTAAACAATTGATGGTTTGCATCACACATAAATGTCTAATAGGAATGATAAAGATTCATATAATTTAGAATCATCTTAATGCACCATTAATGTGGGATAGATACTAAATCATTAAAAAAAAGATTTAAAAATCTCAGCAGAATGTAGGCTAATCCTGAGGTGAGGTGCATAAGCTTGTACATGACTAGCAGTTTCTTCACTTTTGACTAAAATATGACTGGTCTATCATACATATACATTTTCACTAAGACACCACATCTATTTCTTGCAATGGATCTTGAGAGTCCTTGTGTGCTTCAAGTGTTGCTTGGCGAATAGCTTCTTTATATGGACCTCTTTTCTTTTTATTATATCGGATCTGCAACACAAATTTAACATTCAATTACCAGTAATCAAAACATAGAAGACTGAGTTTGACCAAATCCAATATAGTAGCTTACTTTGAATGTTTCAAGGAAAGGGTTCAATTGATCACATGGCATTAATGAAGATGTTGAAGAGCCATACCAGGAGACATGTGCTTGAGGAGCACAAGAAGTATGATCTTGCTTTCTTTGAATAGTTATACTTAATACCTAATGCACAAAAAAAGAGAAGATAATACAATAATATAAGTAAAAAGCACGCATAAAATGAATAATTCATAGGTAACAACAAAAAAATACCTTTCCTGGCCACCATGGAAAACCATGAATTTTTCCCCAGACAACATCTCCGACTTCCACAGTCCTCCCATCACTAGTCAGACATGTTCCGACAGTCATAAAATTGTGATCTGAAGGAGGCCTTGGAAAGTCTGGTAATTCATCAACACCAGACAATTCAGAATAACTGGTTGAACTTTCTGATCCACCCGAAGAACTTGTATCACCACGTGGATTGTAGGAAGTTGAATTCAAACGCTTCAAATTTATTGACAGCTTATGTTTCAGGCATTTTTCCTTCATAGAATCATAATTACAAATGTTGTTCACAGCCAGTTCCTCACTAGGCAAATTATCAATTTTAAGAGGGTCTTCCTCCATTAGTGGAGGGATATCTAGATCCATCTCATCCACAACAGCCGTGATTTCATGTTGGGCACGAATTCCTTTGTGCCTCTTCTTGTGTTTAACCTGATCCCAAGCAAACATGCTATCAAACAAGGATAGATGAAGAAAAGATTGATGACAATATATCAGTCAGGATGCAGAAAAAAGACAAACTATCAATGAAGATCAAAAGGGGAAAAATTTGTTAATTATGAAGTTTCTCACAAGAGACTAAAGATTGAAGATTAAAAGCAAAAGATTTCATTCACCTGTTACAAATATCATAACAACTATGGGTAACTATCAACAGATTTTAAAATGTCTAAGCCTGCCAGCAGGCACTGGAAGTGTGACTAGTCTTAACTTAAAAAATGTATAGATGAACCGATGAACTCAATTTCACATCTAGTCTAACAAACAATTAATTGAATGGCATAAATTTGTTAATAAATACCACTGCAGCATTCAGCTTGTTCCACTAACATACAATGTGGTGTAGTTAAAGTTGTAAATCCCTCCTCTGAATGTTATCAACTATTGGCGAGAGTAATAAAAAGAAAGGTTTACCATTTATCACCTTTTGGTGTGATTGCAAAGAAAATTATAGAAGACACGAAATGGTAACTAAAAATGTAAATTGAATCCTACTTATGATGAAGACATTGGTAACATAGTTCAAACACTTCATTTTACCATGATACTTATCTTACTAAGAAGTTGTTGTTGTTCAAGACAATACAGTTATCATCTAAATAAACTATAATACATATCTAAAATATTATTTTTTTTGTGCTTGTTCCCAGAACTGAAAGCTGATGCAGCTGCAGGCCAACTAGATCTTAACACTTCTGAAAAGGATGCCAAAACAAAGGAATTGCTATAATCCTACGAGCAACAAACATTGGTAAGGCATTTCCCTCCATTCAGAATTCGACATGCTCTATGTAGGCAAATGTCAGAACTACTTCAGATTTTGATTGTGATTGATAAGAATTCTAGAAGGTTACCTCAGTGATACTGACCTTTCTTTTATGTCTTCGATGGTACAGATGCTTGGTATCATAAGCAGGAGAGTTGTCATTAGCAGGCCTTGATGATTCTGCTGAATCTTCTTCTGGCAATTTTCTGCGAGCTTCTTTCTTCGCTTTCTTCAGAGCTTTCTTAGCAGCTTTTGTTTTTACATCCTTAGCTGGTGATTGTACTTCAATTTCTTCATCTTCAACATCACTTTCGCTTTCATGATAGCTCCGCACCTTTGCAGGAATTTTCAGAACAGTGCCTTCTCCCTGCAAAAGGATCCATAGATACAGTTTCAAGATGTGTAAAACAAAACTAAAATCTCTGGGAGACATACAAGACATACATACCTGTGTTCCAAAAGATATTTTTATGACAGGGGTTGTTCTCCTGGTAGTGTCCTCAAGAAAAACAGTCTCATCCCATAAATCCTCCATGGATCCTACATTTCTTTTTTTACGTAGAACCATTCGTGCCTGGCTTTCATCAGTTTCAGAACTAGCAAATGAGTCATTTAATTTGGATGATGAATTGGCTTGATAGTCTACTAGTTCATTTACACTAACACTATTCTCGTATACATCAACTACTTCTAATTCTGGGGAATTAGCTTCCCCAATGTCATCAACAGATTTTCCTGACTCACAAACATCCATGGAATGACTATTATTGGAAGTAAATGAAACATCATCAACAGGATCAGCAGACAGCACTGCTTTGCTGCAGCCATTAGACTTGGTTCTGGGGTTGTTAGATTTAGCGCTTGTCTCAGATTCAACTTCAGACTCTGTTCCCTGTTTTGTCCAATAACCCCCTACTAATTTTAATTTGTTCACAGAACTAGTTAAGGAAACCTCACTTTCTTTCTCAGTCTTGGGGATCAATGATGGACAGAGAGATGAAGTATCTTCAGATGGGTTTGCCTGACTTTTACGTCTACCAGGAGACAGATTACTAGAAGCTTTATTGTCTTGAGGATTTTCTGAAAAGGGTGGCCTTGGAGATTTAGGACATATTTGTCTTGGTGGACAGCTTCGTTTTTCTGCAGGGCCGTTAGAGGGTGCAATCGATTCCTCTTTTCGCTTCTTAGAGAGATCTACATTCTCAGAATTTTCATTGCATATGCTCTTGCACTTGGAACATAAAACTTGTCTTGGTCTCAGTCTTACAGTCATCCTGCTACTTTTGAACTTAGATTGTCCACCACGCATAGTACGACGCATGTGGTAAGCAGATCCTGGATTTAAGGCATCCTTTCCTGCTGGACTCAAGTAGGTTGGTGATTTTCCTTGAAAATATGAATGTCTTTGGGCCAAATTGTGCATTTTGTCCTCTTCAGTTCCAAGGACATGCAAGGTAACATCCTCCTCTGGATAACCTGGTGGTGCAAGGATACCACATGGTAAAGACCTGGAAATAGGAACATTATTACACTCAACACTAGAGTCAATAATGAATATTTATAACGACAATCAACCAATAAACAGGAAATTAGCGACCCTCAGGCCTTATTACACTTGAGGAGATAATGATCCACAAGGAACAAAAAATTAACAGAGCTGGTTTCAAAAGAAACATCAAAAATTAAAAGGAAAACATTAAATTAGCATTGGCACATTAATCTCAAATATTTCATTTTTTTTTTTTAAAAAAGGAAGTGATAATTAAAGTGAGGGGCAAACAATGGGAGTATGGTACACACCCACACCCATGATTCAACATATTTTTCACACAGTGATCTGACATTTCTTAAAAAATATAAAACCGACAAAACCTCACATGAAACAATTCCTGAACTTTATAGCTAATAAAGGCAGCGTCAGCCAGACGACAAAAACAAAATAGTTGTTGTAAATATGATCTGATCTGGTAGAGGAAAAAATGTCCACCTTCTGTGAACAAGAAATCTTACCTTTTCGAGGCATCCAACAGGACACCTTGATATAACTTGCTATCATACTCATATGATACAATTAAACAGTCTAAGAGTGCTTCTTCTACATGGACCGAAATGTGAGAATTCTTTAAACAACAAATTTCTGGCAGAGGTTGCACATCCGCCATTTTAGGTTAAGCCTGTACTGAGGTTCCTTGATTCTTGATTTCGGTCTTGTGGTCTTGTGGTTAAAGTTTGAAGTCTTCTCAAATGTAAACTCCGGTGTTTAATGAGCATTGCGCGGAAATAACTGTGCGGATAAATACATAGAAAATTGGCCACAGAGTAGAAAAATTGAAATGAGTAATCTAGAAACCCGAGGGCGACGTTGCCATATGTAGGGAAATTTCCCCTACAGAGAGAAATTTTTCGCTTGCTGCATATGCAAAACTACACTATTTACTTTCAATCATCTGAAGCGTGACGAATAGCTGTGCAAACAAACGATGCAGGCCAGTCCGGCAACAGTGGAGTTAAGATGGTTGGGACCAGGCCAGTGTAAAGGGCATTAGTCCAAGTCCAAAAGTAAAAGTCCCCCTCGCTCCCCATCCCCGTGGTGCCCCCGCCCCCGCTCGTCCGGGGAGAGGGTCGTATCTTGGGTCACAGCTGATCCTGTCCCTGCCGTCCTGCACCAGTGGCGCACAGCCGCACAGCTGATAGGGTGTGCAGAAAGGAGAGGGTAACAGGGTGCGGGAGCGGAGCGGAGAGAGGATCGGGTAGCGGGTGCAGGCAGTAGCAGCAAGGGGCTGGGCAGTAATAATAAGGTAACAAAAAGCTTTAAAACTTGTCGCGGTTCGTTTGGCCTCTCTACCAGGATCTGTTGCTTCGATCGCATCTGTTTTGACTCGACTATTGAATACTTGAGTAAGTCTACAAAGTGTACATAACTTTTGTCCGTCTGTGAAAAAATATCTGTAAATTACTACAAGTGCCACTTTTCTTCTAAAAATCCCCCTTTGCCTGTGTGAAGTTATAGAACTTGCATGTGCTTATCGCTCTCTTCTCAAAACAAAATGTCTATGGATCTTTGTCGAACTAACTACTATTTCTCAATTATCTCTACTCCGCTTGACACATAATGTAGGTACTTGTGTGAAGATATGATTGAAAAGACCCTTTTAACCTATAGATATGTTACTTTGCAGAATTTTTCTATACATCTCTTTTCTACATTTCTTCCATCACTTTATTTCTTACTTCTTGATTTGTGCCAACTCATAATTAACTCTGTTTCTTCTCAAACCTAAGTAGCTTTGAAGGACAAATATTTTTTTACTTGACCTAACTTCTGACCCTTAACTCTGATAATTAGTACATGCATTTTTTCTAGGATTTGGAAACACTGACCATGTCTAACGAACGCATTAAGATTGATGCACCTCTTTGGGATCAGAACACCTTCATAGGCCGATTCAAACATTTTCTTTTTGTAACTGATCCACGGTCGTGTATTGTCCCAGATGACAAGTTATATGAAGCTAAAGCATTAGTAGAACAATACAGGTAAATGTTGTGCTCTGGTTGAATGGTTTTCTTTTGACATAATGAACTGTGGGAATCTAACTTGAAATGTTTCTGTTTTTTACAGAATTGGAAAGGAGCCTCCAGGAACAACAGAAGACAAAATTTTGGCTGCTAAAAAGTTATATGAAGGAGCTTTCCATCCTGATACTGGAGATCTGCAGAACCTTTTTGGCCGTATGTGTTTCCAGGTTCCAGGTGGAATGGCTGTTACTGGTGCCATGCTGACATTTTACAGGTAAGTTTCCTCAAAATTATTCATCATGTAAATAAACAATTAAATAATGATTATATTTTTTTAAATTATCTTAGAACATCAACAGCAGTGATGTTCTGGCAGTGGGTTAACCAGTCCTTCAATGCTTTAGTCAACTACACAAATCGAAATGCAAAATCACCTCTTACTACCAATCAACTTGGTGCTGCATACTTATCTGCAACTTTGTCAGCCGGTTTAGTTGCTGTCCAATTTAAAGGCTTTCTTGAAAAAAGAGCTGGTTCCTTGATGAAAGTAAGTTTTTTGTTTTCTGGAATGTTTCTGCTTATCCCTTTTGTAAGATTTTACTAATTATCCCGTAACTTGTGTTCTAGCGATATGTACCATTTGTTGCTGTTGCTGCAGCAAACTGTGTCAACATCCCACTCATGCGTCAGAATGAAATACTAGATGGTAACGATGTATACGACGAGAATGGTAACAGACTTGGGCAGTCCAGAGTGAGTGTTGCCACAGTGATTTGGATTTTTATCTTTAAAGTTCTGGTTAAGTATTCACCTATTTATCTTAATTAATCCAGATTGCTGCTGTGACTGGTATTAGTCAGGTTGTTCTGTCACGAATTGTAATGTGTGCTCCTGGAATGAGTAAGTCATGTGCCTAAAAAATTTATAATTTTATTGTAGAAATATTTTCCTCGTTCAATCTATTTTTTAATTTTATTTTTGTAGCCGTGCTTCCCCTAGTAATGGAACGACTAGAGAAGCGTCCAGCATTTAAAAGGGCAACATGGTTCCATGCTCCTTTCCAAACAGCGGCTGTTGGCTGTTTGTGAGTAATTAATAGTATCAAAGTAGTGCACTGTATGCTTTTTATATGTGCATAAATATCTAATCACAAAGTTTTCTTTCTCCCTAGCCTCTTGTTTATGGTTCCTTTTGGCTGTGCCATATTCCCTCAAAGAGCGTAAGTATCAGTATTGATTATCTGAAGCATTAATATGATTCAAAGTGGTTCACACTAACTGAAATTAATTTCTTCATTACTCTTCCAGATCATTGAGTACAAGTTTTATCAAAAAATATGAACCTGAAGAATATGAAAAAATGGTCAAACAAACTAATGGAAAGGTACCTGAGACAGTTTACTTCAATAAGGGTCTTTAATTAGGTAGATGTGGATTGATGAGAGTAAATCATAAGAAACTCAGATTGATTCTTTTTGATGGTACCTTTAATTTTGCCATTTGTTTTTATAGCAATGTTTTTTTTAATGATCTATTTTTCTTCTCTTACTAATTTTAATTAACTAGATTATAGTCAGGGAATTGTTATGAAAGAGGTTTTATTTTCTGTGGCTCTTAGGGGTCAACAAAAGCAAGGCACTCTAGATTTATTATGTTTCATTAATTTTCAGTTCAGTTTTGCAGTATTTTTCTTATGTGCGCTTGAAAAAAGCTAATAAGACATCATATTTACAAATCATTGTTTTACTGTCTGCTTCATCAGCTACCCTGCTTTAAGCTTGCCACTGTTCAATTTGAAATGTTCATAGTACAAGTGACACTGTTCACATTTACTTAGTAAGGATTTAGCATTCCGAGTTTTAATTACAATGACAATAATACTTAGTAGTTTCATGGATATATTTGAAATGAAGGAGAAAAGTAAGTCACTGATGTTGGAACTTAAAATACAATGAAAGCTCTATTTATTCTTTGGATTGTGATGTGTTTAGAGTAGATGATAGGATTAAAGGGGAAGTTCTAGAGATACCTCTTCTATGTTCTTCCCCCTCTTGTGATTTGTTTTTCTTTTATGAAATAGAAATGAAGTCCAATGCTGTAATTTAAGCAATGTTCAGACAGTATTGTTTCAAGTAAAGTGTGGATTTGTGGATAAAAGGAGCTCATGCACTTTTGTGTGTGTAAATTAGGTCTTTATACTCTATAGGAGGCAATGTACTTAATTTGTCTAGAGTCTTCGTGTATTTTGTGTTTATCAATAAACTCAATCATTTGTTCTCTCAAAGTGTAATATTGTATCATGCGCCCTATGCTTTCCACTTGTGTAATAAGGGTAGTCATTTCCTGCATATTTTGTGATATTTGTTTTACAGATGAGATGATTTACCCTACACAACCATCTTTACAAATAACTTCACTGGATTCTTAGACTTTAGTATGCTTGGGCATTTTTCAATGAAGGTGCATTGCTGAATGCAGAATGTGTTTTGTTAATGACAAAAGGTTTCTGTGTCTTTTAGTTGTTTTTTGTTACTTTTTTTGGGGGGGGGGACCTTCCCCCTCTCCCCCAATATTTTACTATTTCTTCTATGTATACTAAATAAAAACTTTTTCACAAAACAAAATATTGTAAAATACTAAGTGGAGTGCCGAGTATCTAATACGGATCCCGACGATGAGTTCGGCTGTGCACGCGGGGCCACCGCAGAGCAGCGGCAGCATTGTCAGCTCTGTCTATTGTTCTAGAACCGGTCCGCTGCAGTTGAGCTAGAACCTACGGTTTTCGAGATATTTGAAGTTTTTCCATTTCGAGAAAGTAGCTGCCTGCTGCCCCCCCCCCCCAAAAAAAAAAGAGAATAAGACTCACACACTCACACTACCATACCGGCGGTGTACGTGAACAGACACCTCATGCGGGTTTGGATCACAAGTGCATCGCGCATCGTTATCTATGGTTTGCATACCATGGCAAACCCCCAGCACTACGTCCGTTCTGTCTGATGATACATCGGGTAAACTATACGCTCTTCCTGTTTAAGCGGGTAGGCGACAACCCTGGTCAACAGTTGGTCGGATCTAACAGTCTGGCTGCTGGCGTGGACACACCGGATCCCATCCGAACTCCGAAGTTAAGCAGGCGGGGCCCTGTGTAAAAGCGGGGTGGGTACTCCCTCTTTTACACATTCTTTGAAAAATAGTTTGGTCCTAAACGGCGCCTCTATTGTCTGCTCGGAATTCGTTGGATGGTGCGCACCTCCACCGCTCCCCCCGCGCCCTCCGCGCCTGCACGCTGCTAGTGCGTAGGCAACCCATCGAGCTGCCGCGTATTCTTACGGACACCCGGTACGACTGCACTGATAAAACCACTACAGTGCTGTATAGCAGGGCCTTAAATGGCGAAGCCACATGGCTTTTTAAGTCGTTCCTAGTTTTGTTTACAAACTGACTTGCTGTCAGCAATAGCAGTACTCACCATTAGCTCCATGCGGACTGTGCAGTTCAGTTGCCTTCAAGCTGCGGGAGACCGGGCGTCGAGGGACGCCGCACCAAAAACACACGCGTCACCTCAACCGGGGTCGTACAGAACAAAACATAGACTCGAGTGATGAAATCGCATTTACCCGGATTCTCGGACTGTTATGTATTGTAATTGTCATCATATCTATATGTTGGCATCACTGTTCACTATCATTTGTCATCGCCGTTGTCGGGTCAGCTAGACCGCCGCCGTGCGCCACGCGATGCGTTCCATCTCGGGTCAGCATGGACCGCCTACTGCTAGAGTACGACCACACTACGGTGCGCCGGTCCCGCGAGGCACACACTGGTAAAAATTCGTCCCCCAGCCTGCGTCTCCATGCCCCTCGCCCTCAGCCGATTGCAGCGCAGCCTAGAGATGCAGGGCGGGGGACGAAATTTTGTCAGAAGTGTTGCTGCGCTAACCCGACTGACATGCGTACGCGTCGGGTGGTCCGTGGCGGATCGTGCGACTTTCCTCACAGCCACATAATGTGGTCCCAATCCATTTTATTTTATTTTGACATTTTGTTCCCACCGACTGGAATTAGCTCTGGTAGAAAGAACAGAGTACTCTGAGCTTACTTGACGTAAGTTAAAGGGGTGTTGGTTTTGACAAAGCCTGAGGGAACCAGATGACGAGCTATCTACTGTGCTGTGCCAACTTATTTTTGAGGCATGGTCGAGAGGTAGACAAAGAGAAGCAAAACTGTAAATAGTAATTATAATACATTTCTGTATTTAATACAGTTTGACAATATTGTCCATCTTATAGTAAAACACATTTGTACAAATTATATATGTATAAATTTATGATACAAAAATGTTAGCGGGAAATCTTAATGAGATTAGATGTCTATGGAATATTAAAGTGCGGAGGAGAACGGATCTTCTCCAAAGTGGAATGTTGACCTTGCTCAGTGCAGATGGCATTCCTACTACAATAGCATTATTATAGTTTTTATCCATTGGTTTTTTCCCAAAGTGTCCCAGAATAGAATTTCTTGTGTATAGTGCAACTGCCATTTCACTGTCTCCTTAACTTTCTACTAGCTACCGCCCTTTTAAGGGAAAAATGTGGAAAAATAGAAACTTCTACAAATAACATTCCTTTGACTTTGACAACGAAATACATGGTAGATACAAATAAATAGAATGAATTATATTACAAATATAAAATGTATATACATATTCACAAAAAAATAATTATTAAAAACTGACATAAGTCCCAAGGGTAAAAGGCAGACATCACAATTGTAAACTGATTGCTCCCTTAAATGTATTCCTGTTACTTCATGAAATTCTAGAAAAAACTAAAATACAACTCTCAGCATCAACAACAAAAACATAAAAAACAACAACTAGTAATGACCTATAAATTACATAAATCTAAATTTACAAGTAAGTAGTACATATAGGAACATTCATACAGCTTCTTTGGCAATGAAGCAAAACCATCAATGACTTAGGGATCGTCCAGAAAGTACGTCATTTTTCTCCGATTCATTCGGCAATCTTCCGGGTGCTCAGCGCCTGCGATACACGTGGTAGGCCACACCGCAGTACAAGCATGCACTGCAGACAAGATGTTGCCTACCTATCAGGCGCTATGATAGCTCGCTTTGGCTGAACTTGGCAGGTTCGCAACGCGAATGTTGGACGTACTTTATGGATGGCCCCTTATAACAAATCAATTTACCAAGGGACAAGAGCCAAGTCCAATGTTGTGAAGATCTGCCATCACTGTCCAGTCTCTTCGTTCCCCACCAATCATCACTTTGCGAATGCAACCCTTAAAATTGTCTTTTACACCTAATGTTTCAGTCAATGCACCTTCTGGGAGACCCCCTATGTACACAGGGCTGTTAGTTCTTGTTTCTACATGGTGGCCATCATCCGCTAATGGTTGACTTTGCCTCAAATCATCTACTTGTAACACAAGTTCACCATTTCTGTAACTAGTTTGTATTCTATGCCATCGGTTATCACAAAGAGTCCACAGCGATGGCAATACTACAGCAATTTCAAAGCGCCGGCGGTCTCCAAGATCACCAGCAAGAATGATTTTGCCATTGTTTAATTCAAGGGACATGGCGGGGTATCCCCTCGGCTCTGATATGCTTAAAAGAACACCACTTAATTCAGAAGTTCTAAATTCCAATTCTACATGAAGAAGGTCACCCACCACAAATTTATTTTCTGAAAAGTAAGAGAGGGATTCAATTAAAGTGTGTGTATGTAAGGGGGGGGGGGCACAAAAGAGTCACGTACAAACAAAATAACACACAAAATAAGGTATTATCTAGTACTAGTAGCACTTAAGCAGTAATACTGTATCGTATACAAGCAGCGGGCTTTCCCTATAGTCGCTAACAGGTTTACGGCGCTATACGGCCCCCACCGGATAAGCAACCCGAGCACACGCCTACATGCGGTATAGGTACAGTATAGCTACTACAAAAGGGTATGGTCACCAGGTATACTTACTGTAAATAGCATAAGCGTCACCAGCGAAGAAAGATCCTTTTTCGACATTGGCAAAACACTGTCCAACCTGATGGTGCATAGCATTATCTCCAACCAGATCCTGGCTCATATTGTTTACTGTCAGACCTCTCATACATCCGCGGAAATGCTGTAGTCGTTGAACCTGTAATAAAAAAAATAAA